TGTAGACTAATTAAGTGTGATAGAACTCCATCCATCCAGCCTCTGCAGGCCTTCATGTGCAGGAGCACAAACAGCATGTTGAGTTCCCTTCTGAAGCCCATTCAGGCTGGCTCAGAGTTTTATAGTTTCATGTGTTTGAAATATTTGACATGTGCTAGTGTGTGTTGCTCTACCCTTCTCTCAAAGAGTAGTGGCCTCTGCCTTCGGCCCCTTGTTCATCCTAAAGCACTTACTTGTGCATTAAAAAACAGACCATTTACAAGAAATGGAATAAAAACTGAACAAATTACAGTAGGGATGTTGTTTAAGATGTTTTTCAAAAGAAAGAAAATGGAAATTGCAGGGTGTACATGAAGGAGCTGTCCAGATAAGCTACAACTTCCTGCCTGGGAATGGAGTGATGTCTCACACTGGAAACCACTGGGGACAGGGGACATCCTAGCACAGAGCTGAAAGTACGTTCAAAAGCATGATGGATGGATGGATGGATGGATGGACTGATTGATTATGATGACTCTCATTTTGTGATGCATCACAGCGAAACCAAGAACAAGTCACAGAACATAAACAATGAGAAAACATAAAAACCACTAAAATCTGAGTAGTTAGATGAAGTAGTTAGTGAATTTCATTGCCCTGCAATGGACTGGCGACCTGTCCTGGTGACCCCGCCTCTCGCCCATTGACAGTTGGTGATAGGCACCAGCAGCTCTCCTGACCCCACTGGGATAAGGGTGTAAGAACATGGATGGATGTGAATTTCATTTTATTTGCTGTGCTTTATTTTAACTTTTAAAACAAAACAATGGGCACATACATGCACAGGTATGGCATGTGCCTTTGCATATAATAAATATTCATGATGGACTCCCATGGTCAAAAATACCACAGCCCTTTTTAGTTCCAGCCTGACTGTCTTGAACTCCATGTCTATGTAGGTTCTTCAGTCTAACAGAAACAATGAGTTGAACATATTTGAACCAAGTATGTTTAACCCATAAAGTCATCACATTCTGAGTCACTGTCAGCTTCAACATGCAATCTTTTCTCAGGTCACACTTTTGCTTATATGTAACCAATAAAGTCTAAAATTCAACCATCCTCAATACTTTCTGAGTTTACTGAAGTTGCTTTTGCCGTAACAAAAACCAAAATGGTAGTTTACCAATGAAGTCCAGTAGGAAAACAGATTTCCAAAAACCCAAAACAGGCTCCTGATTCTATCAGAAGTGTGTGCAGCAGGAAAAAGGCTCTGTCAAAGGCCAAGCAGGAAAGAAGAAAAATTCATTTTCAAGACGCCCAAATCATTAGCAGCAGGCTGTTCTTCGTGAAATACTAAACACAACACCATGTTTCTATATACATTTTAACCAGTGTGAATGGTTAAACAGATAAACTAACGTTTACTCTGTTGATTTATAGCCCAATAGGAATGGCTGCTTTTGACTTGAGGTTCATCAGACACAAATTTATGCCAATCTAAACCACCAACCATCCTCTGACCTAAATGCTCCAAAAGACCCTGAACAGAAGGAATGATCAGAGCAGACAGAGGACTCTGGGTGACACTCCATTGTCAAAAGGCGCTGTCTAAAGCTTTAACTGCAGAGGTTCCAGTAATTATACAGCACACATTCGCATAAAACATATTTCTCAACAGATATTCTTTCCCAAATTAGTTTTTTCATCATTATCTATTTACCTCTTCATATATACATTGAAAATGAGCATTTACTGCCCAACTAAGCAAGTTTATATTAATTGGTCAGAACTCACCTAAAACCTGCAGCGAGGTCTGAAGCAGATTCCAGATGCTGCCCATCCAGCCCAGACACAGCCTGAAATGTTCTGGGAAAATATCCAAGCATTTCATCTATTCCAAGAATAAAATCGAATAAGATGCAGAAGGGTTGATAACATATCACACAGTAAACTAGGCTATATATAAAGGCAACAGCAATTAACGCCATAAGTAATTGCTTACCAGTTTATTTGCAGTAAGATTTCAGCTTCAGAGCACCATCTGTGCAATTGCTGATGAAGTTTTAAGAAGCTAATTATTAATACTGATTAACAATGTAACAAAGTTATGAAAATAGAAGTGAACTGGATTTAAGTCTAACTGACATTTTGTTTGGTTGGATCCATAAACAGTTCACTCTGTTTTGTCCTTTTAGTGTGATGGGCTTCTCCAAGGTCAGGTCGATGTGGCAAAGACTCCTGGAAGGAGCCCTGTCTCTCCACTGAGACCCTGCAGTCCTTCCTTGAGTTATCCTAAGTCCGGAGGGCTTTGTCCCTGTTTCTCTGACAACCAGGCAGAGGGGGAGGGTGGACGGGGGTTCAGAAGAAGCCTGTAACCAGGCCCGCTGACCCTTGTTGTTGCAGATGAGCAGCAGCTCCACACTCACTTCCTTCTCTAGCTGCTCACATTAGCTCCACGGGCTTCTTTTAACCTAGAAGTATAGATTAGGGATAAGGGAAGACCTAAGGAATAAAAACTGTTTACATTTGGAATATCAGTGGGGCTGTGATGGGACTGTGAACAGACATTCAGTGCTCCTCAGCCGTCGCTACAGGAAAAACTTGTGGTTTGCAGAGGGTTGAGATAAAGCTTCTCCAAAGTTCCACTTCAACTGGAGTTTTAGAGTTTAATCCTATGATTATTTGTGGGGATATCTTGTGATCTTCTTCCTGTCCCTTATTATTAACAAATTTGCTGTGTGCATCGATTGCAGTTTTCCGGCCAATAGTTGATTACAGATCTTTAAAAAGTCCGATCTGCCGATTTTGATTTTGGCAGATACCATTTTTTGTCTGAAATGTTGTTAATTATAGCAAGAAAGTCTCAGAGTTAGCATCAGTGGGATGACTATTGTTAACTGCAAATATGCAGAGATGATCTGGTGGATACGGGTCTCAGTCAAACCTCTCACTGCAGAACAACACAGGACAGAAGTTGATTTTTAGACTTTTTTAAGGTAGATACGATCGGTGGATAAGATCAGCTTCACATGGAAGTATCCAGATCATCCCAAAATTAAGGAAATTGGCTCTGCCTCACACTCTAGTTCAACAAGAGTTGGTCAACATTGTTGCTAGTTGGAGTTACCTACTAAGACCCACTTCAGACTCTTTTGGATGCTGCAATAGAAATACACAAGAAAAGACAGAACTACAAGTTTCTATAGGGGAATGTTTTCCAGGTCTCATAGTAATGGGTCTTTATATTTTTTCTGACTATTAGTTTCATTTTTCTTGGGGATGTCTTTAAAAAAAGTTTATTTTTCTAATTAAGTTAAATCCTAACAAGATATTTATTAATTTCCTTGATTTGATATTGTTTATATAAAGTGAGAGCAAAACCTTGGCAATGAGCTTAATTTAATCTACATGAAGTCAGTTTCCAAATTCAGTTCTTTGTGAAGTATTGAATTCCCTGCCAAGGCATCTGGTTGTAGAAGAGCCAGCTCAGCTTCAGGGTAACTTACAGCAGGCCAGACTCACACTGCCGGCAGGGCAGCAGCTCTCAGCCACCACTGGCCACTGTGGGACTCCATGCTGCTCCTTAAAGAAGTTACCAACATGTTTCACTGGTATGATGTCAATTTATATTGTGCTCCCATAGATACATTCTGTAGAACCTGCTTTAAACCTCTGCTTTACTTTTAAAGCCCTGAGTTATCAAGTATAATAGAGTGCAGTCAAATTTATTTTACAACAAATCAGCAAGACAATATCTGATTAACAAACTGCAGCTGACAACATCATGTCTATAACTTTGTAGCCACTTGTCACTGCAGCCACACACACTGCAGTGACAAGAATGCAGTGACAGTGGACAGAAACAGCTGCCTATAACAGGAGGAACGCTCCAGCAGAGCCAGGTTCAGTAAGAGCAGATACCTGCCACCACCAGCTGGGGGCAGGAGAGAGAAAGCTTCTATGGACTGAAGCTAAAACATAGCGGTAACATAATATCAGCAAGCTTTCTGCAGATAACAGAGAGCAGGAGGAAAAGCAATGAAGTGAGAATGGTTGGTGAATATGCCCTCCAACACACTGAGCCTGATTACATGGACATCACTCTGGATCATATAAAGCACTCAAAGCTTTAGAAAACCAACATTTGAAGTCTAGTCTTAATCTCATATGATGCACTCCACTGTGTTACAAGATAATTCTGACATTTCTTTAATGGATTGCTCCTTTGGGTTTGTGTAAAATAACTAAATGAAGCTAATATGGAGATAGCCAAATCAATTGTGATGTTGCCTGAGGCTGAAGGCAGTTTGTGATACAGATGGGGAGCAAATTCAATAGATATGGCAAAATAGGTTTCATTCCTTTTAAAGTGAAAAAAAAAATACACCAACAAAATAAAACAACCACTTAAAATGTTACATGACTTTATAAGAGTAATTAAGGAATGGCCATCCATCCATCCATTTTCTGCCGCTTATCCGGGATCGGGTCACGGGGGAAGCAGCTTCAGAAGGGAGGCCCAGACTTCCCTCTCCCCAGCCACTTCTTCCAGCTCCTCCGGGGGACCTCCAAGGTGGTCCCAGGCCAGCTGAGAGACATAGTCCCTCCAGCGTGTCCTGGGTCTTCCCCGGGGCTTCCTCCCGGTGGGACGTGCCCGGAACACCTCACCAGGGAGGCATCCAGGAGGCATCCTTACCAGATGCCCAAGCCACCTCAACTGGCTCCTCTCGATGTGGAGGAGCAGCAGCTCTACTCTGAGTCCCTCCCAGATGACCGAGCTTCTCACCCTATCTCTAAAGGAGAGCCCAGCCACCCTGCGGAGGAAACTCATTTGGGCCGCTTGTATCCGTGATCTCGTTCTTTCGGTCATGACCCAAAGCTCATGACCATAGATGAGGGTGGGAACGTAGATCGACCGGTAAATCGAGAGCTTCGCTTTTTGACTCAGCTCTCTCTTCACCACGACGGACCGGTACAGCGCCCGCTTCACAGCAGACGCTGCCCCAATCCGCCTGTCGATCTCCCGCTCCCTTCTTCCCTCATTCGTGAACAAGATCCCCAGATACTTAAACTCCTCCACTTGAGGCAGGACAACCCCCCTAACCCGGAGAAGGCAATCTACCCTTTTCCGGCTCAAGACCATGGCCTCGGATTTGGAGGCACTGAGCCTCATCCCGGACGCTTCACACTCGGCCGCGAACCGCTCCAGTGAGAACTGCAGATCACGTTCTGATGAAGCCAACAGGACCACATCATCCGCAAAAAGCAGAGATGCGATCCTAAGGCCACCAAAACGGATCCCCTCAACACCTCGGCTGGTCATAAAAGTAATGAACAGAATCGATGACAAAGGGCAGCCCTGGCAGAGTCCAACTCTCACCGGAAATGAGCCCGACTTACTGCCGGCAATGCGGACCAGACTCTGACACCGGTCATACAGGGACCTGACAGTCCATATCAAAGGGCCCGGTACCCCATACTCCCGGAGAACCCCCAACAAGGCCCCCATAGGGACACGGTCAAACGCCTTCTCCAAGTCCACAAAACACATGTAGACCGGTTGGGCGAACTCCCATGCACCCTCCAGGACCCTGCTGAGGGTGTAGAGCTGGTCCAGTGTTCCACGACCAGGACGAAA